ACTAAGAGGTTTAGGACATATGTTGATATGAACTTTTCTCTTTGAAATCATCCAAGGATTATCGCCCTTGAGGATCAGCATTCAATTATGAAACACCCTGTATATACACTCCCCGACAATAAATTCCGGACAGTGAAATTTTTAGCAAAATTGTTCGCCCTGTAACTTTCGTAATCTTCTTCCGATTTCGATGAAATTTCGACCAAAGGGTAGAATTATGTTTCGCAAGATCAGTCTGATATTTTGTTCCAGAAAACATCTATTTTCCTAATCATTATACAGGGAAAAACAAAAGTAACTTTTTTACCCTCAACTTCTCAACGCCCTGTGGCAAAAGTGAGCAATTAAAATCTGTTTCATCATGTTTAGTATTGAAGTGTGATTCCTTTTTAACAAAATGGTTCTTAAATCACGTCGATATCTTGCCTCGGAGAGTCGCAACCCAGTCCTTGCCCTGGCCCTGACCTCGCCTTTCGGTTGGAAAAAAGTTCAAAATTTTGTTTAAGAAGAAGCTCGGCAATGAAGTGCAATGATCTTATCTCACGAGAATTGGGGCGCTTGCCGGTTTGCATACGCCTAGGTCACTCCCCAAGGGCGGCATACGAACCGGAAGTGGCAATTTTTCAGTGTTATAGTCGATGATCTGACAATGTATGCCCTTTGGCGGAACAATGAATTGGGACCCATTAATCAATTTCCCGACATTTTCATACGATTCCGGACAGGGGAGCTCGACTATTCGAACATCATTTGACTAGATATCCTTCAAATAGTCGATAATCGAAGAAATTTTCAAATTTTGACCATGGTTAGTGGACCACACAGTATATATGAGATGTTGGTTTGCATACAATTTGCACATTCCGTACAGGGTGGTTCACCATAAATATCTCCCATTGTAACTTAGTTGCAAACCGTCAAGCGCCCCAATTTTCGTGAGATAAGATCATTGCACTTCATTGCCGAGCTTCTTCTTAAACAAAATTTTGAACTTTTTTCCAACCGAAAGGTGAGGTCAGGGCCAGGGCAAGGACTGGGTTGCGACTGTCCGAGGCACTCCTTCCTGTTAACTTGGACTAAGTGAGTGGGTCCCTTAAATGGCAAACCGACTTGTATTGGATGGCATAATTCTTATCTCGTTACCAGATCGCGAAATCGAGTGCAAATTCACGCATAGGAAAGTGCAGTTTTTTAATCATCTTGCTCAGGATAGTGATTGGCACAGGTGCCATTCGATGAAGTAAAATGTTTTCACTTTCCTTTGGGACATATATCATTTCGTTATCCATCCATTCACATATGACAACAATGATATATCATTTGCTAATTTTGTAATTGAAATTTGTTCAAACACCAGCATTTGAGTGGAGATTTATATTCAGGGCGAGTCATGACTAACCAGCCATAGCTTAATGGCGGATGAAGGGGGTCAAGGTGAGTTGATATACAGGGTGTTTCTTAAGTACGTGTAGAAAATTCAGGAGCATGTTGCTGACGTCTAAATAAAAAGAATAGTTCGTATAAACATATGTTCGAAATTTATCCGTTTCTGAGATACAGAATGTCAAAGTTGAATTCTTATTTTGGTTTTTTGTTAATAAATTTCAAAATAATTGTGATATTGGAATGAAATTTGGTATCTAGGGGTATTTTTCAATGACAATATCAAATGTTTTGTTAGTTTGTCTCTTTCGTGGGAGTGGCGCTACCTACATGTCTTTTGAGTCTTGTGAAAAGTCATAAATTTTTTGTGCATACCCGTATAACGTTTTATAGTAGAAAAATAGAATTCTAGAACACTTGTGTAAAAAAATATATTCCTGGTAGAGGTCGCTGCGAGCAACTGTTTTCGAGTTATTGGGATTTGAGAGATAATCAATGCAATTTGGAATGACAAGAAGTTGGTTTTTAAAATTGAATTAGTAAGTAAGGGGAATAATTCTTCTTTAATTTCATTAAAAAATAGGAATCCGGTGTTATTACTATTTCATACTAATAATGATGACAGTAATTAAGACCAAATTGATACTAACACAGTTAGCTGAAAAAACTTTTGGATCACAAGTACAGAAGACAACAAACTTCACTGTCTCAAGAACGGATTAAAATCACATGACAAGTACTCACTTGATTGTTATTTTTTCAAATTGGAAGAGTACAAAAAAGAAGGTACAAAGAAGTAAGAATCATATTTTGTCTACATTCCAATGTTGAATGTAGGAGAATATTGAATGAAAGAAGGAACATGCACTGGCGTATCTTCTCTGATATTCACTAGAGGCGACCACATGGAAATAATTCAAATGCATCGATCATTTCGAATCCCAATAACTTGAAAACAGTTGCCAGCGACTTCTACCAGGAATATATTTTTCACACGAAAGTGTTCTAGAAATCTATGTTTGTACGCACAAAAAAATTATAACTTCAAAAGACTCAAAAGACATGTAGGTGGCGCCACCCTCACGCAAGAGACAAACTAACATAACATTTGATATTGTCATCGAAAAATACCCCTAGATACCAAATTTCATTCCAATATCACGATTATTTTAAAATGTATTAACAAAAAAACAAAAATAAGAATTAAACTTTGACACTCTGTATCTCAGAAACGAATAACTTTCGGACATATATTTATACGAACTTTTCTTCTTATTTTGACGTCAGCAACATGCTCCTGAATTTTCTACACGTACTCACGAAACACCCTGTATGTGAAAAAATATATTTTGCTTATTCCTAACAGAAACACAGGGCATTATTTGTATATTTTCTTTTTAAATGTCAAAATTTCGACTTTCTGAACCGTATTTTTCAAAAACTCATCAGAATCAGAAAGATCAGGAAAAACGCTACAAGTTTAGCTTTTCAATTTGTACGGCACACTTCGACTAGTTGGTGAAAAAATATCAAACAAAATTCAGATTGATATTTCTTTGATTTTGCCTGGGCCATTGCTCTCTACATTGGACTAAAAGGATTGGCTCTTGGTTTTTGAAAAGGATCACAAAACATAATTTTCCAAAAAAATTGTGTATATTTGTTAATATTTTCCAACAAAGATTCTCAAAATGTCCTCCAATTTCTTTACATTTTCTGCATATCTTCGGAAGATTTCTTTTGTATTTTGATTAATTTTCCTATTATTTCTAATCATATCTGAAGGTGTAACAATCCTCTCCCTTAGTGAACTCTGGTGTTGACTTCAGTCTGATAGACCAATTGTTCCATATGTCCTTAAAGATAATAATCTAATACTGTGAGATTAGGAGACCTAGGGGGTTAAGAATGAGGGTCGCCGTGACCTATCCAGCAATTAGAGAATTGTTTGTCTAGGTATTCTCTCACTTGTATTGAGTAATGTGGAGGTACCCATCCTGTTGAGAGAAAATACCCATTTCAATCCATTTTCATACATCCATCACAGTCTTCTTTTTCAGTGTTCTGAATAATGAAAACACCAAACTCACAATTTGATTCGTTGATTGAGAGTTTACATGCAATATCATATTCAATATTACCAGGTATATCTGATTCGGAAAAATATTTCACCTAAGCAATAATATTTTGTTATCTCTTGGAGCGCACGAAAGGAAATTTATATAATGTTCAAAGAACATCATGTGTACCTACCTAGGGGGGATAGGGAGAGGAGGTAGGTATTGGATTTTTTTGAAAATTATTTGTTTAAATGTTTGAAAGGTCTCTCCAAGAAAATTAAATCTGGTCCTGAAATTTTTCATCAGATAGACTCTCTTTCCAACTCTTTTAATACACTGATATGAAAGAAATTGATGTGAATGATGTGACTACTGACTACAATATTCCAGTACAAAATCATGGAATCCTTCATCAGTTTTGTTTGATATATTTTCACTAATCTGATCAGTGTGCAGTACAAATTGAAAAGGGTGATCTTTCTGATTTTGATTAGAAATAGGATTCAGAAAGTCGAAATTTTGACATTTAAAAAGAAAATTAATTCTCCAGGTTTGGCTCTGGATTTTTTTTTCAATAGTAGGTCATCATGTGGTGTGTCAGTAAAGGAAAGTTGCTGGTGAATTTCAGGTGATAACATCCTGAAATATCATTCATCAAAGTTTTGCCCCAAACTCAAATAATGCCCTGTATTTCTGTTAGGAATTGGCAAAATATATTTTTTCACAGATATATCAACTCAGCTTGACTTCCTTCATCTGCCATCAGGCTATGGCTGGTTAGTGGCTACTCACCCTTTATATATATATTATATGCTGCAGAATTATTTGAAGTCACTGGTACCTCAAACCTCATTATATGCTTTCACTGCTCTATCTATTGGGTTATTCATTACTCTATTCTTGGTTTCTGCACATGTAGCTCATGTTTAATAATTCTTGTATCATGTGAATCTATTTCTTTTCCAATAATAATAATAATAATAAAAAAATATAATAGATTCATTTTTTTCAATATAACTGAAAAACTATAAACAATTTTGAGAAGTTTTGTAGGCTGGTAGGACCCTCTTTTTTCCCATTTATCTGAATTTGTACACAGATGAGGATATGAAAATCAAAGCCTTCTGAAATTGAGAATTGACATTCCCTTTCATATTGGGTAAATAATATTATGTGAAATGATACAAATATATACTTACTGAAACTAATTTGTGAAAGAAAGTGACAAGTGAGTTCAATTCTGGTTAACATGAAATGAATGGTATCAAATATTTAATATCTGACAAAAACAACAAAGATGTGGGGGAAAGGATGAAAAAGGAATGTGTCACCTGGTATTTGTGAGTTATATTTGGCATGATTTGGCATTATCAAATGATGATAATGCATTAATGTCATTTGTTTCTGAGAATAGTCTGTTGACTCCAGAGTGACCACTGGCTTGTTTTTAAAGAAACTAGATTTTGTTCACTTTATGAAATGAATAGTATCAGCAAATATTGTCAAATATGATTTTGGTTCTAATTTTTATTGGGTTGATTATATTTTGATTATTACCTCTGGTGAATCAAAAGGATACTTATTGCTGAATTTGAATTGAAGCTGAAACCTTTCTCCTTCATATAGTGTTCCAGCTGCTCCTTCCATATGAATAACCCAGCTAAAAACAAAATACTATAGTTACCTACCAGATAAAGGGAAAATAATCCCAAATACTCAAGTTCAATGTTGTATATTTCAGGGATTAAATGAATGTTTTGTCAATTTGAACTTGAGTTAATATTGGGTAATATTCTCCCAGCTCATAATATACCACAAAGAAATAAAGGCTGATAATTCCTACCAGTGTCACTAATGTTTCTTATCATAAGCAATTAACTGCCAAGAATGGATTTTTAATCTAAAGATAACTTCTAAGGAATTCTGCTCTGAAGATATACATTGTCAAGTTGTTGAAATAGATGAATTAAGTACTTACTGCAATAAATTTTGTTCAGCTATGTTAGTATCCACAGATACTCCTGGGGGAGGTTCTTTTATCAAAGACATCAACTCTTTCTGCAGTCTCCTCTAAAACACAAATACATATTATCAACAAAGTTCATATCTATATTGAATGGACAATAGAAGTTCAGATGAAGATGAAGAATTTGTACAACATACTTCTGATGGTGACATTCCTGCCATTTTGAATATTTATGTTTTCATCACTCGAAATGTCTCAAAGGAAAATTGAGTGCATTTTTTGAGTAGAATAAATAGCTAAAATACTATAATAAAGGAAGATGTGACATACACCTATTTTGATTTTGCGATGAGATAAATAGAAAATACAAAAACAATAAATAAAAACTGACAATAAACATTCGACAGTTGTCAAATTTAACATGTCAACTATTTGTCAAATGTCAACATGACATATAACGAATTCCATTCGTAAACCTGGTGGTGCACTGGTTTTGCACCAGTTTAGCACCCGCACTACGTTAGTTCCTCCAAAGTGTTAACTGGCGCATTCCCTAAATCGGATAATTAGGTTCGTCTTCGTCTTTGTTTATGACTTGTCCGCGTCCTGAAATTCTCCCTTCATTTCAATTATAAACGAAGTAGATGTTTCATGGAAATAATTTTGAGCACTTTTTTTAATAAGTATACTCGATTAGTATCTCTTAATCATTGAATTAGTGCAAAACACTCAACAAAATTATAAATTCTTGGAAGTAATTTCCTTTATTTTCTCGAAACCTCCAACTTTTCATCACTACTTCATGATTTGAAACCATGCATATCCAATGTCAGCCAATGTTTCTGCCATTTTCAAAACTGCACTGACTTCGCACGACTAGGGTCCCTTGATGAAAATTGATGTTAGGGTCATCTTAACAGGGTACGGACAATGAACTGAATGTAATGAGTTCATTGAATCTGTTTCCTTCGCCTTGAGGAGCAGACAATTCAGATTTGATCGGTCATTCGGTTGTCAGTTGTCAACAAATCAATGTCAACAACACAGTTATTGTAATTAAATATCTCTTTTGTGTCGAAAAATGAAAGACTTGATCAACTGGAAACGAAACACGAAACTGAATTTTGTAGAATCCTCCTTGCCCAGAATCGCCAGAATGACCGACGAATTTGCTGTAGGTAGCATATCATAAACAGCGATGTGCATTCATTAGTGTGTAACGCCTATTTCTAATCTGAAATGGAATTCCGATATTTTCCAAATATAAATCTAAGTAAACAACAAACATTCAAAAGAACTCTGTTGCCCTGACGTGTTTTTAAAAGTAATAAGGTTAAGTGAAATGTTTTTGTTCTTTGTTACTTCTTACAGGCTGCGCTCGCAATCTACTGTCTCGTTGAGGGTTCGTTAATAGTTATTTAACCAACTAGTGTATTAATGAGAGCGATTAATGATCGAGATATTTTAACGTGCGAGCGAAGCGAGCGCGTTAATGTTCGAGATCATTAATCGCCTTTTAATATACAAGTTGGTTACACAATTTTTCCATCGACTATATTTCTCATTTCTCCTGCAATGAAGAAAACTTGGTTCGCGAATTCATCATTCATCCGGAAACTGCTAAGAAATAAAATCGTGTCAGAAACTTGGAAAAGCGAACCCGTTAACGGAAAATCTTCGATGAAATCCATATTTTCGATTCAAATGCAGATTCCTTAAGTTATAGAGCATAAACAATGAATACACGCGGTGTATGTTTGGTTGCCTATAAAACAAACGTGCATCAATAGACAAGTCGTTCATTAATAGGGATCATTAATGAACGATTTCATATACATTAAACTTAGTCGTTAATACTAGGGTCCCTTGATGGAAATTGACGTTAAAGTCATCTTAACAGGGTACGGACAGATCCTCGTCTCCTCTCACTCTAAAGCGTTTGTGAAACAGTTATATAGTTCCATCCTTATTCAATTCTGGGGATAAACGGTCTATTTGAGTTCATTGGGATAAACACTAGATTTTTTACATTCGTTGTTTTTAAGGTTATATTGAGGTCACTGGCGTATCATACGTAATTTCCATATGAAATTCCTGATTCAACTATACCAAGATATAAATGAACAATCCTCTAGTTTCAGAGTTTACTACTCCAGCTTAATCTTCGCGAGGTAGGGGACATATAAATTCTACTGAAAGCTTGATAAATTTCACCAAAAGAGACTATTCTTAGACTGCATACCAGGGTTGACTGAATTGAATGAATGAATTCTGATTTCAAGCTGAGCAGTAGTTTATCTATGAACTGAATGAGCAGAGCCTTTTATGATTGAGAAATGGTGGAAACCTCGATGTGGATATCTAAACTACTGTTTCTGATATGGCACTATGTATAAAATTTCGTCTAGGACGAAAAGTAGGCTGATGAAGAGTAATACTTAAAATGTGTATGAAAATGAAGAATAGAATATACTTTATCTGATTTTTCCGACTCCCTTGAATAAAGTCATTTTCGAATAATTTATTGATGAAAGTATCAAAGAATTAGGTATACGCAGTATAACTATAGGCACGTTATTTTCACTCTTGCATCCTACATATTTTCTATTTGTGGTAGAGTAATTATTATATAAACTAATGTCTTTCGCCATATTGGATCCGTCATCTTGAATTTTCCAATTTTTACGAAAGAATCATTATCTCCTATCCCGAATACCGCCAGATACCAATTTTAAATAGAATCGTACCTTCATTACAAAACTCGTTCACCATATTGGATCCGTCATCTTGAATTTTCCAAGTTTGACGAAACAATCATTATCTCCAACCCCGGAAAACTCCAGATATCTTCTAGTCTTGAATAGAATCGGATCATAATTACAAAACTCGTTCGCAATATGATCTTCCTCAACGAGTAAATACCCTGTACATACCTATTATTAAAATTTAGAATGATTTTCTGTAGCGCCCATGGATGTGACGTGACAGCAATGTCAGGGATGCCAGTAGACAAAACTAAAGTCTCTAGATCATTAAAAAAGAATGCAGCTATGATCTGTCCGTACCCTGTTAGATGACTTTAACGTCAATTTCCATCAAGGGACCCTAGTTAATACGAGGTCGACGGAAAATATCTGTAGCTCTATCAGCTAGGTGATCACGTGACACCAAATCTGCATCTGCTCGCTCGGCTCCGATTTTTTTAAACCGAACGCACCTTGTAGAGTCACTCTGACAACTGACAAAACAATTATAACATAACCTTACAACTTACAACAACCTGACTGACAACAACAAACATAGGTTTGATGTTTGATTTTCACGTCTGCTAGAGGTAAAGCTAAATATGGAGAAAAAATCTCGTGAGCTGTAATAACTACGATGTTCATTGAATGCTTTGGTTCTGACCTTCGTTCTAATCAATGAAGCATTTCTGTGGTCAAACGAGTCAAAACCAATTCGATTTGTAATCAGTGTCGTCTTGAGTATGAAAATATGCCTTGAAATATTTTTCAATACACTGTATAATGCATTTGGGGAGGACTATTCATCTGAATAGAAGTGGGGTATGTGTGTTAGGGACTATAATACTCATTTTTGTGATGTACTCCATATCATTCAGAGCACAGGCTGTGGAGAAAGAGACCAGGAAATTGAATCTCCATGAAATTCTCCAAGTAGCTATCAGGGCTGCTGAGAATGGTGGCAAAATGGTAGTACAGTCCAAAGATAATTTGGATGTAAGATCCAAGGGCTTGACAAAGGAGGGACTAATAGATAGCATAACAAATGCAGATGTTGCCTCACACTGTGCTATGATGCAGACAATCAGTCATTTCTATCCAACACTTACAATAATTTCTGAAGAAGCCACTACTGTTTGTGGAAATCAGTCCATTTCATATTCAGCAAAGGTCTCCATTCCAAGGAATATACCTGATGAATTTGTCCCTGAAGAAGATTTAACAGTATGGATTGATCCCTTAGATGCAACATTTGAGTATACTGGTAAGTTTGATATCTAAATAATTTAATATCAATGTAATATACAATAATCAATTCTAGAAAAGTTGTATGAATATGTCAGTACAATGGTCTGTGTTGCTGTGAAAGGCAGACCAATTATTGGAATTATTCACAAACCTTTTGATAAAACCACTTCTTGGGCATGGGTAGGTAAAATAAGGTCTATAGACCTTGAGCTGGCAATGAATAAGAACACATTTGAAAGTGATTTCAAAGTGATAGTATCCAGATCTCATAAAGGAGATATTGAAAAAGTTCTGAAGGAAAACATTCCAGAACCTATCAAAATTGTTACAGCTGCAGGTGCAGGTATGACCATAATCAGTTATGTCCACACTTCTCAACTAATTTAAATTAATTTAGGCTTCAAATCATTAGAGGTTGCTACAGGAAAGGTAGATGCCTATTTACATGTAACCATGATCAAGAAGTGGGATATTTGTGCAGGAAATGCTATAATAAATTCAGTTGGAGGAAAAATGACAACCAAGCACAACAAGGATATTGATTATTCTGACAAGATGCATGTAGAAAATCATGATGGACTCATTGCAACAATAAGAAATCATGGGAAGTTTTTAGGAAAAATATAAGAATGTTGGGTTCTGATTTGCATGTCAGCTGATAACTGAATACTCAATGAAAATTCATTCAGCTGGCAATGTTTAATTGTTAGGTGCATTCAATGTTTGTGTATAAATTGAAATTTTATTGAAAATATATCTCTTGGAGCAAATTATTGTGATTTACTTGTAATTTTCCGTAATTTCCTATTACTATTTTTTCAAATCTACAAATACATCTCTTTCCAAAGACTCGTTCATTCAACGATGAACAGCGAGGCTCTGGAACACATTGCCAAGGGAGGTGTTCCCCGAGGTGTTCCCCGAGGCATATAACCTCCTACCAATTCCTACCTTATGTCCCTTGGTTCTCATGATGTTCTCTGAACATGACAGGATATCCCTTTTCATGAGAACCAGAACATAAAAAAAATTGAAACCTCTAGAATATGCAAAAGAAAATCAATCATCATTACAGAGACAAGACAGGTATGAAACAATAAGACTTAGACCCTATCAAAAGCCACTTTTTAGACTTAATGAATACTTCAAATCCTACAAATACCAGTCCATTAAATTGATTGATTTTATTTTTCACTTGTCCATTACTGCTTTAGAATACCTTTTAGCAATGGTTGCTAATTAACAGACAGACATAAGGCTCGGGGCGTTATGGTCGTTATGCATGCAGGGCATTATGAATCCTAAGGCCTGCTAATTCCTATTCATTTCCATTATTTCTATAAGACAACACAAAGAAAGCAGCAATGACATTCACTAAATCAATAAATGATGACAGCAATCCCATCAATGCATCGCATCAATGCCATGACTCCTTCAAATGTAGCACAAAAATACATTTTAAAAATTATAATGTTCAGAAATGAAACATTTCCTACTGACAAACTGAACGGTTACAGTTAATAATGCTAATACACTGATGCAGAGTTCGAATTTCAAAGCGCCACTTTTTGCGCCAGGCGCATTTAGTTGAAATTATCACGCCATTTTAATTTTGAAAGCGCCACTTTGGCGCAAATGCGCCACACCTGGCAACACTGGATAGAACATAAGCGTACGCCACCTATCGGAGTTCTTGAAAGCTGTCAAAGCGGCATGTTTACTTTATTTTCATTGGTTCACATTTGTTTTTTGTTTGTGCTTATTGGTGATATCATCAAAACGAACCGCTCAGAAGTGTTCAAGTTGTTGTCGTCAGGTGGGACGACGTGTTATTTTCTATCACGAATTGATCGCGAATAGGACCAAAAATATATAACATACTGCCAAACGAACTCAGAGGCAAACCCTCGGGCAAACCATACAAAAAAATCAAAAATAAAATATCATCTTGGATTTTAAAAAGCAAACCCAATATCTAGTTATTAGTTTGAATATTTTGTATATATTCAGATTGTATATTATATTAGTTCGATATTAGTCCAGATAGTATATGAGACGATTCATTATAGCGAATTCACTCATAGGTGAATTATCTGTTGTAAATGTGATTCAATAATGACTGGTGCACACACAAGCTTCTAAAGCTCATTTTGTACCTAAAAAAGTATGTAAACCATATGACTGTGCATGGTTATTGAATAAATACTCAAATACTCAAATATATTCAACAAACGTCAAAATATCAACAAATGCCATGCCTACCATTAGAAGAAAAATGGAAACGAAATGCTAAGAGCAATATGAACCGCTTTTTAAATACATATTTCATTATAAAGATAATTTTTCCTCAAGCTCTTGCATGCACCAGGAGCGTTACTAGATCCTAAGTTACTGGCCCCAGGACCGATCGGCGTTAGGATATATAACGAACTTGGTACATAAATAACTGTAACGTAACAGCCTACCAAGAGAATGGAGGAAATTAAACTTGAAAAAGTTTTTGAATCATTGTAAGAATTTTCTGAGAGAAAATGTGTTTTACAACATCTAGGAATTTTATAAATTAAATAAAATTATAATGTCATATGTGTAATCTGAGATTCTAAATCTATGTCTGTTTCTTATATATTATTTCACTTTTATTTTCCATTGGTACATGTATTCTACATTTTATTGTTAATATCTGACGAATGTATATATATGCATTAAATACATTTTCTTCTGTCACACAGAATAAACTAATACAATACTACTTACTGAAATTTACCTGCTCTTTTTAGGCATAGATCTTTGTATCTTGTATCTGAGACTTGTATCCTTAGATAGAATTATTGTGGACTTTTTGAACGATCAGGCTAAAGTAGAACTCAATTACGACACTTCTTATCTCGATTAGGCAATTAGGCTATTCAACACTGAATATAATGTATAATATATCAATTAGACTCTAATATGTATATGAAGATTATTTTCTATTGTCACTCATCTGTAATAACTGTGTCTATTATTAAGCCATAAGCAATTGGATACTTATAGTGCTTATAGATACCTACCTATCAATTATGAAAAATATCAATATCGCATACTGCTAGAATATAGTATATTACATAACTAGTGTGGAAATAAGTGACATATATCACGCGAGTGGTCACGTGGAGACGAAACGAGCGCAGAAAATTCACTTTCCAACGAGTTTTGTACAATATTTTTCCTACGACCACAAATATTTGAATTAGATAGTCTTTAGTCTTTATGAGACCTGAGTAGGAATGTAGAATATAAAGCCACTGTAGGTATCATATGCTTCTATAATCATATTCGATAACATGAAGATGAAATAACTATTTTCGTAATCCCATATAGTGTTATTTTGATTTAACGGTATTCAGATGAAACTTGAAAAGTTAATGTTAACGTTAACAGCCTCCATCCGTTAAGATTGTTTAATGGCCGGCGGCCAACTATCTGTTCCATAACAACACGATACACGATGTTGGGGGTTTTTCTATAAAATTATACGAGGTACGTGGTATGCTCTTTCCTCGGAATAAAAATGTGATCTTTCATCGTGATTACGAAAAGTGTCGAACGTCGAACGACATGCATCCGTTATTTGCTACATATCGGCCTTCTAACGTTGATAACTTTATAATGATTAACACTTCATCATCTAAAATCTCTCCAGAAACTCATTAATCCTCAATAGTTCTTGTTTTCTGTCAAATCAAAACAAAGAACAGTACTAAAAATGTATCAATTATCATAACGATACCCTAATGCTGATAAGTCGTAACCCACAAAAAATTTAAAAATAGTATTTTTTCACCAAAGGAAAGTACACATGCATTTCTATATACTGTTAAATTCTCGTAACCCAAATAAAATTATAAATCGGTGATTCCGGCGATTTCCAACATGTCTGAACCCACGTACGGCATTTATATCACGTCTAACTAGTCGTATCCCACAGTGCAGTTCAAACAAGCAAAGCGTGTTGATAGCAGCTGACTAGTTTGACATGGTGCTCTGCATTATTTATTTTTTTTACCTTGGCGTCAAAGAAGCATCTTGTATTCGTATTTCAATATAAAATACCAAAAACCTTTTTTATTTATACAATAATATGCCTGTTGGAACCAAGTTGTGGTTTACGATGTATTCGAACAAACTGTGTTTACTTATTTATTTTGTGGGTTACGTCCGTTTTCTAGTTCTCATAATATTATTCGTTTTTCGTGCCTCCTGTAAAATTTCATTGAGTTGGGTTACGACATGTCAGCATTAGGGTATCGATAAGTAATATCACGATGTTCTGAATATTCGAGATAATTCTGTCGCTTATTCATTGTTGACGTACCCTGACGATCTCGTAATGTTGCTCGGCAACACAATTGAGTTAACAATGAAAGATATAATTATGAGGAGATATTCAGAACACAGTGGTATTTTGCTAGACCATTTCACGTTCACAAAGCATAAAAAGCATTTATTATAAATCAGTGATTCATTCTGACAAGTACAGGCATAATAATTTTTGCCAAACTGACATACTTTGTTTCGCTATCCATGGCACGATGTAGCGTGATCCATGGTCATACAGACTTTGCTTAGATATACATTTATACATCGTTACAGCTCCCTAGGTTTTTTCTCTACACTTACTACATTTAGCAGACAATGGTTGAAAACATCTACGCTGATATATAGAACAATCAGAATTGATAAAGACAGCTATTGTTTTCGCGTTAAGCACACGTTGTCTCTGGCTTGTGATTCGTCAGATTATGTGATGAGTGAAGTGAAATAGATATAAGTAATATCACGATGTTCTGAATATTCGAGATAATTCTGCTACTTATTCATTGTTCACGAAACAAGATATTCAGAACAGAGTGGTATTTTGATAGACTATTTCACATTCACGAAGCATAAAAAGCATTTATTATAAATGAGTGAATCATTCTGACAAGTTCAGCCATAATTATTTGGTGCCAAACTGAGAGAATTTTGCTTCGCTATCCATGGTTCCATCGACTAATCAGAATTGAGAGACAGCTCATATGAGTGAAATAGTCATTTACGGATACGTGAGAACCATCTGCAAATCGTCCCGAGTGCGTGCGCACATTTATGGGTTCGTCTCATTTACATTCTTCATACGCTAAGTTTCAAGTAGGCTTACATAATATAGCTAGCTCAGTGAGCTAAGCGCCTGCTTACCACGTTTGAGGGCCGGGGTTCGATCCTCACAAGGGTCAACTTTTGTTTGTTTTTAACACTTTTTCCTCTCAAGTTTTCTGAAAATTTACTTTCTAGAAAGAAGGCTCATTCAGCCTGATTTTTTAGAAGCCTTCAATCAGGACAAAAACACTGTGATGGTCATAATTGATGTCGAAAAGGCTTTCAACACTGTCTGGCACGAGAGTTTGATGTCCAAAATATCTAAGGCTGGAGAACCTATTTTTATCATTAGAATTGTAGACTTGTATCTCAACAATCGAAAAATCAATGTCAAGGTGAATGACACCATCTCTGGAGATTTTCCACTCGAGGCAGGTGTTCCACAGGGGTCGTCTCTGTCTCCTCTGTTGTACTCAATTTACACGTATGACTCCTGTGTTTGAGAGGACAAGTGCAGCATTATATGCTGATGACACAGCGTTGTATGCGCACTCGTTCATCTGGACTGGGGGGCCATACCGTACTTTGAAAAGTCAAAGATCGGCGAGAACAACACGAGAACTGGAGTTATCAACTTCAGTAGGAAATTCACAAATAATGTGTTGCCGGCATTTGACTGTAAAAGGCACGGAGGTTACGGACTCAACCCGTTTTGAAATACCTGGGAGTAAAACTGGACAGACGTCTGTCATTCAGAAATAATTTCAATTATCTAATTCAGAAAACTCAGGGTGCGATCAGGAGTCATGAGCTTGTATCCTCAATTGGCCCGAAATTCCGTGCTGATATTGGATAACAACCTCTTGATCTATAAACGGATCATTAGGCCTGTAATGACATACGCCTGTCCGGTGTTCTGCAGCGCCTCACCTACCCAAATAGGTAGGTTAGAGGTGCTGCAGAATAAAGTATCCGTATCATTACAAATGCGGAAATCGATACACTCGGGTGGCGGATCTCCATGAGATGTGTCAGAACATATCCCTTATATCAGAGAACACATCATGAAAATCTCGTTGCAGCCTAGACTCTAATCAAGGATTCGCGCCTCCTCGGCTTACAACAGCCGACTCGCAACTGCGTGGAGGATTGTTTTAACATCTCATCTCATAATGTTTGAAGTGCTTTCCACGTTTGAGGACCGGGGTTCGATCCTTGCAAGGGTCAACTTTTGTTTGTTTTCAACATTTTTTTTTCTCAAGTTTTCTGAAAATTTACATTCTAGAAGGAAGGCTCATTCAGGCTAATTTTTGAGAAAAATTTGTTTCCTTTCTTATGCGGAAAGGATATTTACCTTCCTCATATTACGATTATTCCATATACGCGCGCAGTCAGGACGATTTGTAGATGGTTCTTACGTATCCGCTAGTGGAATAGTCATGCCACAGTATACACCCTAATTTCCGTTTGGGTGTATACTGTGGTCATGCCAATCTCCTCCAAACCGCTAGATTTTCTCATTTCTCTCTAATCAAATAAAAAGTGCGTATTTGGAATATTTGGATATGTTCCGTTATCAACCGATGTTACCGATGCTTTCTGGTCCGTACCAACAATTTTGAAAGTGGTTATCTACTGGTGACTACGGCTGTGGTTTATTAACGGAATGCAAGTCATTCATCAAATTATAGATTTTTGATATCCTGAAATACTTTAAATAGAAACATTCGTTATCAAATTGAAAATGTATCAAATATAATGAATTTACCTCTGTGAACGGATTCATCGAAAGTTGACTCAATATTTGAAATAGGAAGATTGTTTTTCGGTTATAAATTGCGCGAGTGCATAACAATTACCGATAATTGTATCAGATCACCTTCTATATCTTTTTTTTTACTGATGTTCTTTGTTTCAATGACGTACTTAGTAACTGTCAGATAATATATGCCTAGTGTGTCAACGTTTTCTTTTAATAAAAAGATTCTTAATCATATTGGTGTGTGTTTGCACCTACATTACATCAACAAAAGCGTGTTATCTGAAAATTGCAGGAGTTTATTTTCATATTTTGGCGAAAGATGGAATATGAAAACAAAACGAATGCAAAAATGCAAAATTATCTGGACATTTTTATGCACGAATGTAATTAATTGGAATATTTAACGAATAAAAAAATTCTCGATAGATTGTATGGAGTAGAGTCACTGTATGGAGCACTCACCAAAATGCGACATTTCTATCACTTTTTGATGTCTATCTGACATTATTTATTCGTTCTGGCAGTGCAATCTTCGCTCTGCAGTGCAATTACCGCTGTAAGTTTTCGATAAATGCATTGCTCTTATGGGACATTTTATAAATAGGGTAAATATTCGTTGTAATTTCTAAATCGAAGAATCCAACCTTAAACTGAAACACGTCAACGTCAACTCAAACTTACCAGAAAAAATTCACGGTCGTGGTGACAGTGAATAACGATGTAGGGAACAGTGAATGTACCGCTGTTTTAGCGACCGATTTCCGTAAATAACCTTTTTTCAGGAGCCAACCGAACATTTCATATTTACGGAACGGAAAACTGCTAACCGAAATAACCAAGTTGATTTACGGAACATACCCTTATAGATGATAGAGGTTAAATTCATATGTTGGGGCTCCGAATAATTTCAAAATCATAATACTAGAGTTGAAGATCATGGAAATGAATCAACGCATATCTGGAGCAGTGCTTGTGGTGTTTGGAAAAAGTTATCCGAGAGCGAGAGAATTAATTTTATCTGGGAATGAAGATTTGAAACCTGTCTCGCTTGGAAGAACCATAAACTTGTAAACTTCACGATGAAAATGTCAAAGAGGAGGGTGACTAATCTACTATTCATTGAAAATGTCTTCTAAATGTCTTTCAAAAAGTTTCGTTTTTCATTAATCAAATATCATTTTTTGACAACTGTCAACAGCCACCGGAATCACTTTGATGTGTCGTTTTATTTGCAACTTTTCCGATTCCGGTTGCTACTTTTCATCCCGTCTCACTACAAGGAATGACGTTGACAGTTGTCAAAAAATTATACTGGATTGACGAAAAATGAAACTTTTTGAAAGTAGAAGACATTTTTATCGTGAAGTTCACAAGTTCATGATTCTTTCAAGTGAGACAGGTTCCATATATGTTCATTTCCAGATAAAATTAATTCTCTCGATCTCAGAGAAGTTTCTCCAATCACCACAATCACTGCTCCAAATATTCGTTGAATGATTTTCTAGATTTATAACTTTAGTATCATGATTTTGAAATTATCTAGAGCCCCTGAAGTTTCTCGTTTTATTTGTAAACGTCATTCTGTTCCCTCCACCGCTACCAGAATGGAACAAATAAAACGCAACTATATAGACCTGTCATTGTCCATTGTCATTTGTCAACTGCCAATAGTGTCAATCTGTCAATTGTCGAGTTTTCTTTAGCCATCTTTGATGAATGTTGATGAAATTTTGTGCGTCATAAAATCATTAATTTTTTTATTTTAGTGAAGTTTCTAGAAGCACTGATCTTTCTGTTCATGTTGTAGAGTTTCGGTGACGATCAGAATAGTTTCTAGAGGTAAAATAAGTAAGTAATCAGATTTCATGTTGACTCTCTTTGCTATAGTCCATTAGCCCATCCTTAAGAACTTCCCAATGTGCTGGATTAGGGCTGGATTATATTAATGTTTTCGACCCTTTTCTTCATTATAGACTTGATACGATGATTGAACTCACAGTGAAAACGTTAGATTCGCAAAATCATCAATTCTCTGTAGAAGATGATGTAAGTAGCCAAACATTATTGATGATGAGTACTATTTAATTTTGATGTTTCTAGATAACAGTAGAACAGTTCAAAACCAAAATTGCTGAAACTGTTAATGTACCTGCAGACACTCAGCGTATTATTTATTGTGGAAGAGTTCTACAAGATAGTTCCAAGCTTGCTGACTATGGTATAATAAATTGTTTTCTAATTCAATACAGGTGTATCAATGGCTTCTTTGTTTTAGATGTTCATGGTAAGGTTGTACACTTGGTTCAAAGGCCACCCCCTGGTAGCAACCCTAGGCCTAATAATAGATCTTCCCCTCAACCACAAAGAAGAGCATTCAGGGGATTCCGTGGTTTGGAACAGGGTAATGCTATGTATTTGGGATCCATGGCATTTCCAGGTAATCTGATGGAATCACAGGGAATTGTCACCCCTCCACCAACTCACAGTTTGTCAGGTAGTCGCCTAAATGTAGCAAAAAGGATGTTAAGACGTGCAGAGACTGCAATACAACTCCTAGAAAATCCATCTGCTAGGACCCCTGAACAAGCTAATCCTGAGGAGAACCAAGATGAAGAGGAAGTTACACCAGTTATTGAAGCCAGAGTCATAGTTCCTAATAATGTTGAACCAATTGATCAAGTTCTTAATGCTGTTCAAGATACTTTGTTGAATGCATCAGCCAATACTGTGTAAGTAGTAAATGGTCCATGTCACTCAATGATTACTAATGAGCTTGATGATTCCAGACCAGTGGCCTTAGCTGGGCAGGGTAGTGGGCCTTCTCAGAGTGCTACAACAAGTGCACCTAGATCTCCTAACCAGTCAGAGACTTCAACTCCAGGAGGTGTTACACCTAGATCTTCATCTTCAGAAAACTTGAACTCTGAAACCAGATCCGAAAATCCAAATCCTCTACCAGAGTAAGTGTAGTCTGGCTTCTAAAAGATGTCCCTAGGATAGAGTGTGTGCCCAGAGCACAATATAAATGTTGTGCTCAACAACTCAGGTGCTCCATAGAGAGTTTGAAATGGTCAGCCATATTATTCATGAATTGATGAAAACATATGTAACGTTTCTCTGGATAGGAATAAGAGTTACACCACTTCTCCAGATAAAACTTTACTTATATAAAAAACAATCAATAATATTTTTCACTATAGAAACAGTCCTGTCTACACAGGGCGATTGAATTTGAGTAATAATATTCACACAAAACTCCCTCTTCTCAATTGTCATCACTCCTGTGATGATACTTTCGAATGTTGGAAACATGAGCTGATTGTTCCCCCCCATCTTGTTCATAATTGATATAGGATAAAACACCCTGTATGTATTTTGCTTTTGTAATCTGGAATGGTCCCTTAACAATACATTCTTTTCCTTTTCTTTGACATTGTACTAGTACCCAATCTCCTACATTGAGTTTTGGTGGTTTAAGCCTCCTTTTCCGATTTGCTTGAAATTGTATCTTTTCCTTGTACTTCAACTGTTCTTCATATGATTTCGGCTTTTCTTCAAATTTCACATCAATTTCTAGGGTTTTATCAGCTTGCAGAATTACAGGTTTCTTGAATAATTTGAAAGAAGGTGAACATCCCAAATATTCATTATGAGACTGATTGTGATGATGAACCGCTGATTCTAAACAATGTTTCCACCCTCTCGGAAAGTTTTCATAGCATTTCATGTATTTCTTCAGATCTCTTATACATCTCTCTGCTATTCCATTGCCTCCTGGATGATATGGTGTCGTATGAACAATATTTATCCCTTTTCCAATCAGCCATTCATAGAATTCACCTGATTTAAAAACTTTCGCACAATCAGTTACAATATTTTTTATTTGATTCACATAGGGTAAGTGAATGAAATAATTTTTGAGTGCTTTTCCATTTTCTTTCAAAGATTTGGCCGAAACGTATCTTGTGGCTTCATCAATGATTACTATAAATGATTTTGTTGTCCTGTTCATATCTGATTTTTTCTGAAGTTCTGCAAAATCTATATGTATAGTTTCATAAGGAGTTTCAGAACATGTCGTCAGATGTACAAAATCTGGTTTAGGCATATATTTGAATTTTGAAATTTGACAAATGTTACATGTGTTCACGTAATTTTTGATGTCCTTACTCATTGTCTTCCAATTGAATCTGTTCCTAATTTTGTAGTATGTTTTGTAATAACCGTCATGTCCTCCAGATGATGGATCGTCATGATATAATTTCAAAATTTCTTGAATCATCTCCTTACTTTTTACCAAATATCTTCCATCAGTTGATTTTTCCAAATTATGAGAAATTAAATTACACCAAAAGGAATCTTGAAGATTTTCTGGCGTGTCAATACATAATCTTGAAATAGCATCAGCATCCTGTAGTTCTTTTCCATTTTTATGATTCACATTCATGTCAAAACTCCTAAGGAAGATCTGCCACCTCGCCAATCTGTCTCTTAAATTGCCAGTAGTCAAAAGTTGTGTTAGTGCACGATGGTCAGTGTGTACAATAAATTTGCGTCCTTCTAGGTATGTTCGGAAATGTTTTACAGCTTTTATAACTGCTAAGCACTCTTTCTCTGTAACTGAGTAATTTGTTTCAGCCTTCGAAAAAGTATATGAAAAATAGCTGATAACCCTCAACTGTCGATTTTTCACCTCATTAGGATCTCTTTGGTAAAGAATAGCTCCACAACCGAAATATGAAGCGTCCGTTGAGATTTCAAAATTTAAGCGAAGATCTGGAATCCTTAAAATAGGTTCTGATGTTATACTCTGTTTCAATTTATTGAAGGCATCTTCGCATTCATCTGTCCATATGAATTTTTTATTTTTGCTTTTTAACGCTTCCAATGGTTTTGCAATCTTACTATAATTATGTGTAAAGCTTCTGAAATGGTTCGTTAGTCCGGTGAAACATTGAAGTGACTTTATATCATATGGTCTTTTCATGTTTCTAACTTTATCCGTCAATTCACTTTTCATTTTCTTTGTGTTCCCATCTATTTCTTTTCCCAAAAATACAACTTGTCTGACACAAAATGCGCATTTCTTATAATTTATCTTGAAATTGTTGTCATCCAGTTTTTTCAGTATCCTCATAGTCATTCCTGCACATTCGTCTAATGTATAACCTCCACACATTATGTCATCGATAAAGACTACTACATTTTCCTTCAATAGATCCCCGAGAACATCTTGTATGATTTGCTGGAATTTTGCGCTTGAATTTTTCCATCCGAATGGGAGTCTAGTGTATTCATAATGTCCTTCGTCAGTAACAAATGCTGTAAATTTCCTAGTGTGTTTCGAAATACTAACATTCCAGAATCCATCTTTAAGATCAATTTTCGTGAAGAATTTACAACCACCGAATTTTTCAATGATATCATTCATTATTGGGAATGGAAATGGATCTAATTCTGTCTCCTCATTGATCTTCCTATAATCTATACACAATCTGAAGTTACCATCACCATAGATTAACGACTCCCCTAGATATACACCGCCCATGCATTCAGACGGTAACGCTTGTTTGGGATTTAGTTGGGACCCCGAATTTTTACCATCTATCGCCGCTATTGCGAATTACCGCGCGTGGTCGCAAATTCGATTTTTTACAGATTTCTGTAACATGGCATTCAGCGTATAGAAGCGGAGTTGTCAAATGTTAGTTTTTGTTGGATTTCTAATATATTGGTAGGTACATGTAGATTATTATTAATCTACGATACTGCAACCACAATTATTTTTAGTATAAGACTTCCTTGGTATGTATAAGAGATTTCAATCTTTAATCTATGAATCTATGGTATTATGTTATTTTATTAGTTTTCCATTGTGCTCGAATTATGATTACTCTGGATTACTCATGATGTGTTATTGTGCCTACCTATGTGAAGCTGGAAAATTCAAGAACGTGAGTTGACAATAAATAAATGGACATGAGTGTGAGAAAGTAGAAATTTTGGAAATTCAATTGATCGAGAACTCCAGGGTTTAGAAGCTGAAGATGCATTTGGATATGGGGCACTGTTTTTAGGGTAAACAGTCGATGAATTTAGATTGTTTAGAATGTTTAGATCTGTCTATATACAAGGAAGTCCAAATTCGTGATAGTTACACCATTTTTAATTCAACAACGGCTGGAACAATTTTCATGATATTTGATTTTTTATTGTATTCATCTGAAATATGGGATAATAAGTTCAAAAATCCTTCAAAATTAGGAAATTCGAGATGGCGAACCCAATATGACGAGTTCTGTGATTATGATCAGATTCTATTCAAGATTGGTATCTGGGGGTTTACATGGTCGGAGATTATGATTCCTTCGTCAAAAATTTCTTTATGGTGGATCCAATATGGCGGACGGGTTTTGTAATTTATTATCGGATTCTATTCAAAATTGGTATCTGGGAGTTTTCGAGGTTAAAGATTAATGGACGAAATTATAGAAAATTCGAGATAGTGGATTCAATATGGCGGAGAAGCTTTGTAATGAATAGTAAAGTTTTTGATAAATAGTATTCACGAAACAAGATTCAATAGATTATTTCACTTTACAAAACAGTCGTGGGACAAAATAGTTATTTTTGTATCTAGAGCGCGAAATGTCACTTTGGTGATCGTGTTCTGATTTTTTTAACGAGGCGTAGCCGAGTTAAAAAATAGTCGAGATGAACAAAGTATGTCGCGCTCGAGTTGCAAACAAAATTTTTTCTACAATCGTCAAAAAATATAGTTCTAAAGTAAAAATATGCTTAGCTTGATATAAAAAATAGTGTTGAACTGGCTTAAAAAGCCTCCCCCTATCCTCCCTAGGTACGCACGATGTTCCACGAACATAAATAGGAATTTCCTTTCGTGCGCTCCAAGAGATAAAACAAAGTTATGGTTGAACATTCAGAAATAAATGATTTCGTGGATGTTCGCTCGATTGAGGACCATAAAGTTGGAATAAAAATATCTCATATATTTTACATAACAATGCGCGAAGTAGGTACTTCGCGCACTGTTTTACTTCGCGCATTGTTATGTGCAAGGTATCATGGTAACGTAGGAAACTGAAAAAATGTGTCACTTCACAATTTGTTATCAATGCGCGAACCTTGTCATTTCTTGACGTTTGTAGAAAAAATATATTTTATATATCATTCTTATGAGAGAACAATCATATCATCAAAGGCCATTCTTCAAAAATACCTATATTCCATTTTCCTATTATCTGTCCTTAAATATTTTAAAAGCTTTCATTTAACTTGCATTGTATGTTTGTATGGATGTATAAGTATGTATGTTCGGGTGGAATCTTTGAACTCAATTTTGAAGTAGAAATCTTCAACCGATTGAGCTGAAATTTTGTATACACGTTCAGTTTGGATGACAATGCACGATAAGTTGTGTCACGTTATTCTAAATCCAATATGGCGGACTATCCAAGATGGCGGAACAGCTATTTTTGATATACTTTCACAATATGGGTATCAAATGAAGAGGCTCGTTGAGAGTAACTCGAAAAATAATGTGACGTCATTCTAAATTGAGTATGGCGGACCATCCAAGATGGCGGAATGGTCATTTTTAGTCTACTTCTACAATATGTGTATCAAATGAAAGGGCTAGTTGAGAGTAATTCGCAAAATGATGTGACGTTATTCTAAATCCAATATGGCGGACCATCAAAGATGGCGGAATAGCTATTTTTGATATACTTCCACAATATGGGTATCAAATGAAAAAGCTCGTTGAGAGTAACTCGAAAAATGATGTGACGTCATTCTAAATCGAATATGGCGGACCATCCAAGATGGCGGAATGGTCATTTTTAATACTTCTACAAAATGGGTATCAAATAAAAGGGCTCGTTGATAGTAATTCGAGAAATAATGTGACGTTATTCTAAATACAATATGGCGAACCATC